TATATATACACAGTATAAATCGATTTTGGGACATTTTAAATCGATTCTGAATCTTTGTAAATGAGAATCACGATTCCGATTTAAAACTATTCTTTGGTGCACCCCTACTTTCTATGAACGTCACTATTCCCCTATTTTCAGTTTCTGTAGGTAAACAAACCAGTCACAAACTTTGGTTACATATTTTTAACTTAAGGAAAACTGTGCAGATCATGATCATTGCCTAATGAAATGTTTTTAACTCGCCTTCATGACATTGCCTTAATATGACAATTTTCTGAATAGAACTAAAGTTGATTGAAAAGTGTTGATTTAGCTCTGTAAGTAGCAGCTGATGTTGAAATAACCAATCATAGCTGAGTAACACATTGCTGTATCTGGTTCAGTGTACTAGCGTTGCAGGAAACAACCTTCATCTGAATGTTTTACATAAAACCTCTGCAAAGTGTTCAAACGTTTGCTTTATTAGTCAAGAAATTTGAGGAACACATTGTACACATAACCTGAAAGTTCTGCATTTATTGCTAAGATTTCACAACATAAAAACCATAATACATCATGCTCATAGAGTCTCATTCATAAACTAAACCATAGCAGCAGAGAGAAGTCTTTGCTTTTATTTACAAATTATAGGATGAACATAGTTTTTATGTTGGTGTGATAACAAGAATAAACTTTTAACTACTGCCAGGTCCATAAAAACTGGGACGTTAAAAATTCTCATCTTTTTGGTTGTAAACACCACCGCAATGATTTGAAATGAAACAAGATGTTCTTGAACTTCCAGCTTTAATTTGAAGGTGTTTGCATCTAAATTGTGTGAACGGTACACAAATTACATCAGTTTGTTTAGGTGTGTCCTAATTTTTAAGGGACCAAAAGTAATGGGACAAATTAACAATCATGACTCAAAATTCTGCTTTTTAATTCTTGGTTGCAAATATACAGTACACTCAGTTATAACCTGAAGTCTGGAGCACATAGACATCACCAGACATCCCTATTGATGCTCTGCTAAACCTCTGCCTCACCTGTCTTCAGCTCCTGCTTGTTCTTGGGTTATTTCCCTTCAGTTTTGCCTTCAGTAAGTGAAATGCATGCTCAGTCTGATTCAGTTCAGGTGATTGACTTGAAGATTGCGTAACATTCCACTTCTTTCCCTTACAAAACTCTTGGGTTGCTTTGGCAGTACGCTAAGGATCATTGTCCATCTGCACTGTGAAGAGACGTCCAGTGAATTCAGAAGTAGTGCTGTCCTAAACGATTATTTTTCTCTCAATTAATCTAACGATTATTTTTACGATTATTCGATTAGTCTAACGACTATTTTTTTGATTCATTAACGATTATTTTTTGTTGATCGAGTAATATAAAGACT